GTAGAACTGCCCCGTAGGGTTTCCAAGGAGCAGCTGGTGGATTCAAACTGCCAACCTTTTGGTTTCCAGCCAAGCTCTTAACCACTGCGCCACCAGGGCCTCTATTACAGGAGGTGCTGTTTAATGGTTCTGGGGGGGGGTGTTTTAAATCCTTCTTAAAGGCGAAAACCTGAGTACTACTTATAGAAACGATCAAATTGTGTCCTTTGTTTAATGGTGGATATGGTATTGAACAACAGAAAATTTTATGATGGTACGGTCATTTAGGGAACTTTGTTCTCTCACAAGTTCCTGGAAAAATAAATCAAGAGCTGTCCTGTCTGCCTCTTGCAAGGGGGACATTCACCAAGCAAGTTCTGACTGGCTAGAAATAGGCACGGCTGCACAGCTGCAATAGTCAGTTCTTTTAAAATGAAATGCATAAGTATCAGCATAGGTTAAAAATTCATTTGTAGAAGAACAAACACAAAGAAGAAACAATGGTAGAATTAGGAAAATAAGCATATTAAAAGAATACATCTTTGTCATTTTTAACTTGATGAATAGTTAATTTTAAATCCCCATTGGGGCTGTTTCCCAAGAGGGGGGTGAGGCCCTTTTTAGTTGGGATAAATGTTGTTGTTAGGTGCCATCAAGTTGATTACTAATCACAGCTACCCTATGTACAACAGAACGAAACACTGCCTGATCCTCTTCACTTTCAGCAAGCGAGGTAGTGTCATCTGCATAATGCAGGTTGTTAATGAGTCTTCCTCCAATCCTGATGCCCTGTTCTTCTTCATATAGTCCAGCTTCTTGGATTATTTGCTCAGCATACAGACTGAATAGGTATGGTGAAAGGATGCAACACTGATGCACACCTTTCCTGACTTTAAAACACGCAGTATCCTTTTGTTCTGTTCGAACAACTGCCTCTTGGTCTATGTACAGGTGCCTCATGAGCACAATTATTTACATACACATATACATATATATTTCAGGAGGTAGTTTATGATCAAGAACAGATGGTCCTGAAGGAAGAAGTCCAAGCTGCACTGAAGACATTGGCAAAAAAACAAGGCTCCAGGTATTGACAGAATACCATTGAGATGTTTCAACAAACTGATACAGCGCTGAAAGTGCTCACTTGTCTATGGCAAGAAACTTGGAAGACAGCTACCTGGACACCAGACTGGAAGTGATCCATATCTGTACCCATTTCAAAGAAAGGTGCTCCAACAGAATGTGGAAACTATTGAACAGTATCATTAATATCACACACAAGTAAAATTTTGCTGAAGATCATTCAAAAGTGGTTGCAGCAGTACATCAACAAGGAACTGCTAGAAATTCAAGCCAGATTCAGAAGA